TTTGGAAAAATAAACTTTGAATTTAGGGCTCTAGGATTTTATCAATACATTTTCATATGACCTAAAATTTCATAACTGGTAAATTCAGTATTCTATGCTTGTAGAAGCTGTTCCCATGTGTGCATATTCCTTTCCTTCAATGCTTTACTTAATGTTCATTTGATAGACTTACCAGAGTTTGAACAATTGCTTGTTGTATGTAATTAGCTAGGTTTGTATGTGTTTTTCTACCTGTAGACTTTATTGTAGTTCCACAAAATTGTTAAATATACATTTATGTCTTAACATCTGCTCTCTTTTCATTGATTCTTAGGATTCATTGCTCATGGTTTTAAAAGGCTTTCTTTTCTTATGAGCAGAATATATTCATTGAGGGAAAGAAAGCTCCTGTCCAAGAGAGGGACAGCAGAGGGGACCGAGTGAGTTGTCTCCCTTAAGAGGCTTTCTTTAAAACTACTTTTCTGGTTTGAATAATAGTATTGTGGCATTAACATAAATTTGGTCTTCTCATCATTAGTAGATTTACATGGAAGAGACAGATATGACTAAGAATAGAATATTGCTATAAAGCTTTCTGGCATTTAACCAAATGGTTCATCGAATCCTCATATAAAATATATATCCCTGTATATTATTATGGCAAGTATGTATGTAATGTATATAGTGTCTTCTTATCTAGTTCTTCCAGAATCTAGATAGAGGGTGCTATTCCTAGGGGCTGGAATGTTATCTAGTGTCATCCCAACTTGACTTCTAGCTTGACATAGGGCAAAATATAACTCATAACCTGCTAGATGTCAGATACTGCAAGTTCTTGTGCCCTAAAATCAAAGAATTATTTGTAAGGAACAACAGAGGTTAAGATTAGAAAAAAATGAATTGACTCTCATTTTCCTTTATTAGCTTTTTTTAAAAAGTACTTTAAAGTAAGTATAGTAATAATTGATATGATTAAAGAATTCTTGGAAGCATGTGGTAATATTCAATCATATGTCCCATCTTGTGAAACTGTATTTGTTAATCTGAGCAACAGATTTGATGATGAAAACAGATAATGTATCAATCACCGTTGGTCAGATATACTTGTCTTGAAAATCTGTAATGTGTGGGTTGTCACATGTTACCCTGTTTCTGTCTTTGCTTTTGCTTTCTTACTCTTGTTTTTACTCTTCAAATAAAAGAAAATTTTTTTAAAAAAGAAAAATAATTAATTGAGAGAGCTCCTGAGCGACAGGACGGGGCTCAAAAATGGGTCGCCACAGATCCAACTTCTCTGAGAATGTTCTATAGAGCAAAATCATAAGGTGGGTACAACTTGGGTCAAAGTATAATCAATCAAGAAGAGATACATAAGTATAGTTTATAGGTAACGTTTATACAACAGAAAAGCAGGTCACCTAGCAATGATGCATTCAAGGAACAAAGATATTTTTAGCTAGGGATAGTTCTGGAGGTTCTGGTCACATCTGAGTGACTGATGTTGATCTAGATTTATAGAAGCAGGGGATACCAATTATAATCTGAAGTTGTTGCTTTTCTCTAAGGGAAGTATGTAGGCCTACTCATTTCCATTTTTTATCTCGAACCCTTCTTCAGCAGATGTGCCTACAGCCACACTTATGTGGTCTCATCTTTTACACTGAAGCCCTCCAGGCTTAGCTGCCAATATAATTTCTAGCTAATTTAGCTGTCTGTAATGATACTATCCATGTTTTTGTTTGGGTCACTCATTTCTTATTTATGTGATCTTATCTACCAACACTTAGTAATTGTTCAACTACTTTTTGTGTATTTTATATGTGTGTGTGTGTGCAGCGTATGTGTGTAAGAATTTCATTTTTTATTTCACTTGGCTTCTTTATTTAATAAAACTTAACTGAAAAGATCATTAAAATGACATTAACTTAGTTGGGGTGGTGCACCTAGAATCCCAGCGCTCAGGAAGCTGAGGAAGTAGAGTTGCCGTGAGTGCAAGCTCAGCCTGGGCCACGGAGTGAGTTCAAGGATGGCCTGAATTACATAACCAAAACCTGTCTCAAAAACAGACAAAACCCAAAATTTTTACTTGCCGCTAATCATGACTTATCTTGTTTGCATGTTAATGGATGCTCCTTAACACTAGAAGATTTGCATCCTTTGTTCTCAATCAGTATTACTTTTCTCTGCATGAAATTTAATGAAAACCCTGATAGAAAACTAAAAATTTAGTTACTAATATCCAAAAGATACTTTTGTCCACCAGTCATTTCTTAAACAGGGTCCTAGGTGGGTCTTATATTTTAATTAACATTTTATATTCATGTATAGAGTATAGTAAATATTAATATGGACATATTATGTTTCAACTATTTAGAATTATAATGCATAGTGTTTGAAGACATCAAAGAAACCTAACAGAGCAATTAAGTGGTCCATAATGTTAATGTAGCTTAAGAGTCACAGGCATAAAAGTTGCTGTGACTGCATGTTGACATTACACGGTAGGCTGTGAGACTAATGAATATGTGTGGGCATAGATGTGGTATGCTTTTTGCACTCTTGGACCATCACTCTGGGATGAATGTACCTTGACACCCTAATGTTAAGTGAAATAAATCAGATATATAAGCATAGGTGTTGCATGGCTTGTCTCCCATGAGAAATTCAAAATATAAATAACTTAAAGAGCAAAATAAAAAACAGATATTAGGAAACAGGAAAACAGATCTTTTGAAAATAGAAAAAGGAACAGAGAAGGAATGAGGTGGAAAGGAAGGGGATAGGAAATGCAGTAGGATATGTTATATTCATGGGCCAACTTTCTTCAATGAAAGTCAACACTGTGTACTGAATACATCTACCAATCAAAATGTTGAGTTTTGTCAGAGGTGGGTATTCTATTGCCATTCTAATATTTTTTTTTGCCATTCTAATATTGTAGGGGCATGAATTCAGCACAATAATCCAACGTAGTTCAGTAGTCCATAATACTACTGGGTTATCCACAGAATTGGCAATGTCAGAAGTCATTGACTTGAGCCTTTTGTAGCTCAGCATATTAATATGGCTTTACTTTTTATACCTCATTTTTATAATTTTCTGCTGGATGGTTAAGACCAAGATAAAGCAAGACCTATATAACAAGAAATGTAACTTTTTTAAGTGACAAAGTTAACTGAAGGACCATTGTGTAGTGAAAAAAAAAAAAATATATATATATATATATATGTATATACAAAATAATTAGGATAGATATACAGCTACTTTCTCTTAGTTCAATGAAAAGAAAGATTTGAACTAATAGTGTTTGGACAGGATATCTTGTCTGCCTCTTATACTATGAATAACTACTACAAAGAGAACAAAATGCAATGTATTAATTATTGTAACTGTCCTACAAACCTGTTTTGAAACTCATAAAATTAACTGAATAGAAAAGTTGAGAAAGTTAAGAAAAAAAAAAGAGTACATTCACAAATTTTGACACAAATTATTCATATTTCAAATAGAGAAGACTCATTTATTCTAAGCTGTTCAGGACTCAGAAAATATTCTGGATATTTTTAATAATTATGTCAGTTTCCTTCTCAGTAGTCCATAAAGCAAAAACTCTCTTGTCATATTTTTTTTTAAAACTTCCTGGAAAAAGTGTACCAGACATGTACAAAGGCCAAGAGAGAGAGTGAAAAGTGTATTTGCACAGTACTTTATTAGCATTGCAACTTGGTTGAGATAGCTGAAAGTAGATTGATGTTTTCTGTGAAGCTATTCATGTTGTCTTTAACTATTATGATTTCTTTTTCTCTCTAGGTAATAGGCCTTTTATATTTTACCTTTCATTATAACTCCCTCTATTTTATAATTCATAATTAAGCTTATCAATAATAGGTGCACTATTTCTAATATTGACTCACTTTAGTTTCCTTGGGCAAGTATTTAAGTATATTTCTAAGTTTATCATAATGAGTGAGGATTAATATATATGTTACTTTTCTTATGAGACAGATGGAATGTGATGATTATACTGTTTTATTGGCAATTATTCAATTTGAGATACTTTTGGTAAAATAAATACAATGTTACATATGTTGTAGCACACAACTCTAGTAGGCAAGGAGCACTGTATTCTGAAATAGATCATAATCTGTATTATTACCTTAATTATGCCATCTCACTCTTCTCTTGCTTAAAAAATGATTATTTAAAGATCTACTATCGATGACTCATCTCTGCTGCAGATTATTCTTGTTTGAGGCACAACAGTTAATTAAATTTAGTAATCACCATGTTCCTATTAAAACCACAATGCAAATATCAGTATTATCTTTATACAAATGAGGACCTTGAGGCATACCATGACAGGACTGAATAATTGCTTTAGAAATCTATTACTGTGTAGCCTAAAGGAGATGACAACATAGACAGTTATGTTAGTCCTCCTATTTTGCCTTTTTTCTGTGCATTTGAGAAAAATCAGGATGAGGTTCATGAAGAGAAAAGGAAAATAAAAAGGAAGAGATAAAAGTGTCACTTTGTTTTGAATTTCTTATTCACCATGATTAGTGGAGTTACACATTATTGTTTTTGTTCTTCACACTACTTTGAAATAGATATCATTCCTCTTATATAATGATAGACTGATTCTCTGGTAAGTCACTCGGCAAATATTACACTCAAAAGCCCATCCTCAACTGCCCTAGACAAACCCCCATTGTGTTCCTTGTTTCCTTATATTAAAGAAATGAATAGTGATGAATTGTAATTTTTCTCCAAGAAAGTGGGTGAAAATGTTAAAGCATGAAACAAACTGTGCTTCTGAAGCAGGACATGTTGGTAATATTGACACTTCTTTAGGGAAGCATGTAAATGCCTTTCTGGGCTAAAGTGAAAGCACAGAATTAAAAGTTAATATCAAAACTGAAACAAAGCCATGTTTGTGAAGCACACATGAATAGTAGTACATTGGATCAAAGGATATGATCTCACTTCATAGTAAAACAGGTCTTGCAAGACTAGGGAACTCAGGAAGCGGAATGGTAATTATTCACAGAAGAGAGCAGGTAGTATACTGTTACAGTACTATAGTAGAAAGTCAGAAGGTCACAAAACTTGCGGGCTAACTGACAAAACTTCAAACTGCCTGGTCACCTTTTAAAAGAAATAATAAAATGGGAGAGAATGGAGCAAGTTCACCTAACACGTCCTTGCAAGGTAAGCACCAGAAGCCGCTGAGTTGTTTTTGTCCAGAAATTTAAGCAATAGAGAGAGAGAGAGAGAGAGAGAGAGAGAGAGAGAGAGAGAGAGAGAGAGAGAATATGTATTTGCCTCCACTGTGTGTGAAGGTGCGCATTAAAAGTGGGGAGGAATCAGTTGAATCTGTTTTTGATTCAGAAGCATGATGTCCTTCTATGTGCAATGATTTGGCTGAAATAGAATCACAAGTTTGGTGGAAAGTAAGAAAAGCCTTAATTTTGTTAGAATAATACTGGAGAAGTAGGCTAACTAAATGTGTTTCCTGTTGCATCTTGTTCAATACTGACAGAATGCTGATTTATGTCTATTTGTGGAATTTTTATTAGTAATCAGATGTTGCTATCTCTGTGGTTTACCAGCAAAAGACCTTGTAATTAATATACCGACTTTCTAAAGGCAAGACATAGGGGCACTGGAGAGAGCTTATCCTTTGGGGAAAGCAGTTTATTTTACAGGTCTTACTTAATCAGATACCTTTGCCCTTTGAAGGGATTGGCTTTGTTGACATTGGTTCGATAGACATCTGAAGTTTCAGCTTGTTGTGGAAACAAATTCAAGAAGAATCACATGTTTCACTTTATTTTGAGCAAGAAAAGATTTTTCATAAAAAAGAAAACAGACTTAGCTCATATTTATTGAAATAATTTCTAGGTGTCCACTTGCTTGTAAATTATATAACACATGTATAAATGAAACTTGGCCAAGACGTATTTTTAAAAACCTACTTGGTAATTATGTATATATTAATTATATTTTTGCAAAAATATAAACAATGTCTCATTAAGAAAACTCAAATTGGATTATTTAGTTTTCTATTAGGTGAATATAAGAAAAATGTTAATAAGCTACACTTATGAAGTATATTTAAGAATACCAGATGATTGTAGACATTCCTAGTTGTAAGAATACATTATCCACTATCGTTTATTTTTTTCTCTTTAATCTTCATTATACTAGCTTAAGAATGTAAGAATCCTATTTTTTCTCTATATATTTTCTAAAATTTATTTTAAAATATATGTAAGATGCTATTATAAACATTTTAAGTTGAAAGGCTAATAAAATTCATTTAATTAAATTATCAAAGAGAAATACAGTAAAAGGCTCATTTAAGATACTTGTATAAGGGTAACTTTTTGTATGTGTTTTATGGTTTGAAAGGTATCATGTATGTTTCAAACATACACCTGGTTCTAACATTTTATTTTATTTTTTTCCATAATTTTATTGAGAAACAAATATCAATGAGACAGTTTCAATTCGAATTGGTAGGACAGCTCCAATAATTAACACATTGCATGGTTTTAACATTTTAGAAGCTTCTAAGTTGTTAGTGTTGTTCAAATTATAATGTTTTTGTATGAAAGGTATATAACTATTTGATAATCACAGAATAGCTCATCGTATGTTGTATTTGTACATTGCCTGTCTGCGTTCAGGAACTGAAAAAAATCAGGGTAAACAGATCCCTTTACCTTTCCATTATCTCTTTTTATGTTGCACACGTGGGGAAGATTTACTTCTTACAACAGAACCTTAGAATGTGTAGATGACATTTTTGTTTTTCTTTTTCTCTAGCATGTTTAGTTACTTTTTAGCAGTATGTGTATTTTACTGTGTAAAGGTAGATTTCCCTTTCTTCCATTCATGTGCATGTATAAAGTACAATTTATTTAATAATTAATAAACAGTATATATCAGAAAATATTGCACAAACTTTAATTCAAAGAGGTTCTATAGCAGATAATGTCCTTATTATGGTTTACGTTAGAGAACCACGTGCCTGGGTCGGGATGCCTTTTGTGGTGGGGAGAACCTGGGAGAGCAGGCGTATCCTGAGTGCACCCTGTGCAGACCCATTGCTACGGGATGCATTGTTCTCTTCTGATCTTATCTGAGCTGGAATGTGTCCTTGGAATTTCGGTAAAGATGTCAGACCTGCTTTTAGGTGTGGTGAAACTTACATTACAGATGAATTTCATTTAAGATTATTAAGGGAACCTACTCATGAGGGTTGAAAAGCAAAGAAACATCAGTTAGTAGTTTTAGATTTCTTCTGAATTTATTTAAATTATAAAAGAAATATTAGAGGCCATTCATAGCTTTATTGGCACATCTGAAGTTAGAGAGATTTAAAACTAATCAAATATATCCTGGAGTCTTTATTTATACACTATTTTATTCTCTGCTTTATGCTGTCCTATATCTCAAAATAAGTTTCAAAATTATCAAAATAAATGAAAAAGATATTTTGAAATGTTAATTTTTCATACCTAATAGTATTTGTGTAAAGACATTCAAATTCTGTGCTTTGTGCATAAACTACACAGAGGATTGACTTGAGTGAGTTGGCTAAGCTAATATTCACACTAGATTATCAAAAAACTTCATTGCATTCTTTGAATAATGATTTTCTAAAAGTATTTATTTAGATTACCTAGAATGAGTGAGTCTTTCTACTTATAATTTGGAGGTTATTTTGATTTGAATAATTTGTGTGTCCAAACTAATATTGCCAATGCCCACCTCCCCTACTACAAGAGTATTGAAAGTGTTTGTGTTATGCAGATTCTGTCCTTTTCAGTGGATTAATACTGCTGTTAAGATGGTCTGGAGGTAGTAGGATTCCCTCCCCTTTCCCTTCTGACTCCTAATGTGTAGGGATGCAGTAAGAAGGCTCCTATCAGATGCTAGTACCTTGACTTTGGATGTTCCAACATGAAGAACTGCAAAAAATAAATTGCTAAGCCCATGGTATTAGTCTATTGAAGAAGTTCAAATCAGTTCAAGACAGAGGGCTAGCCACAGACATTAACTAAGCTTACTCATCTAAATGCTCTTTCCCATACAATTCTGACCTAGTCTCTGGTCGCATGTGGCTTTGATATAGAAGTCGCCTATATCAATCTTTAGCATGTTCAGTAGGCATCAGGACCTCATTTTTAATCTTCAAGTCACTCTTCAATTTAGTGGGAGTAGATCATAATTATCCTTCCAAATGTAAAAAGCGAAAAGCAATGTCTGCTTCTTTCAGCCTCAGTGCCATAGTATCCCCTCAGTGAATTTAAATAACTGTAAATGAAGGCTCATAATATTTTCTTATCTGTGAGTAAGACAATGTAAAGAAATTTTTTAAACTTTGAGAATAGAAATAGAAATGTATAAATAATATTACATAAAAAAGGGGGAGGCCTTTTTAAGCATGGTTAGTGATTGAGCAAACTTAAAAGAATTTCCTTGCATAATATGTGCAAATTCATTACTCCGTCAGTCTGTAACAGAAGTGAATGGCCATGGCTTGCAGGTGGAAGTAGTAGATTGCTTTGAAATAGGGGAAAGAAACTCCCAAACTGCTACATATTAAGTATAAGTTCATGTTCTCTAAAATTGAGACTGAATTATAGGAACAACATAGGTTAAGAGCAGAATATATTTATTGAGGGAAAGAAACTTTCTGTCTGAGAGAGAGAGAGACAGGGGTTCTGAAGGACTCTGTCTTTACTGAGGATTTTTATACAGCAATTCCATGACATGAAGGTCTAAGGTGGGCAAAATGGGAAATTGCAAAGTGAGCATGAGGTGGGACAAAACTATGGTCAAGTGATAAGATTACAAGTGTAATTGTGCAGGTAAAATTGATTAAATCAGGATCAAATGGGGAAGCCAGTCATACAGCAAGTGGGCCTGAATACAGAGCAGGGGCTTTTCCTGTAGGGGTTGGATTAATGACTCTTTCTGGCTTTTTGGAGGTGTTTGATACGTATTTAGAATATAAATCACTACTGGCTACCCCTAGGGAGGTGTGTGGCTGCATTTGTTTCATCTTTTGTGTTGAGGTCCGGCTAACAGCAGAGGCACCTGTCTCTTCTGCCCCATCTGCAAGGTTTGGTGCCGAGTCTTCCCAGGGCCTGGCTGTATTGGACTACCTATATTTCTATCTAATTCTTTTGCCTACAACAGCTTCTTGGCAGGCAGCTACCTAGAATATACTTTAGCATAAAGTTTTCCCATAGGCCATTCTTGAATGTGTAAGGGCTCCTTCTCTCTTTCCTGCCAGGAAAAAAACATGCATTTTCTATGTGTCTCAATATTCTTACCAGTCTGGAAAGCTCCTAGTCAGAATTCTACTTTTTTTTTTTTTTTTTTTTTTTTTTGGCAGAACCAGGTATTGAACTCAGGCCCTTGCTCTTGCCAGGGAAGCACTTATTCCACTGAGTCATCTCCCTAGCCCCTTTCCTAGTCAGAATTTTAAAAGGGAAAAAGAGTCTGCTTTCTAGGTAGAGACCTAAGTCCTTCCCACCTGGAGAACTCAGTCGCCAAGACCTTTTCTGATATATTTTTCTTCTTTGAAAATCTATGGTCAAAATATAACCAAGGGTTATCACCTCCTTGTAAAAGATACAATATATTAATTGACTTCTGAAATTATTTGAATTAAGTGTGTTTGAGTTCTCAACAGTGTATATCATACTTGTGAAAGGAGTTCTCCTTGATTGGAGTCTTCTTTATCCTTCTCAGCATAGGCAACTCAGGTTGCCTACTTCACATCTGAATGTCTGCTTTTGGGAGCATTTCTGATAACAGCTCTCCTTCTTACCTTAATTTTTCTTTATTCTGTATTTCTAGTAAACCACTGCCCTAAAGCCTTCCAAAGGCTAGGGATCAGTGGATAAAAATACCTTAAATATAGAACAGCAAGCCTCCATGAAATTAAAATTATCCATGACTTTACAAAAGTAGTTGCCAAAACCTAGGTCTCCACTTTTGCTTCTCAGAGCCTGTAATTTTATAGAATAATTTGGTCCATTATTTTCTAGAGGCATGTACTTTCCAATTTTGTAAGGGAAAATCCGTCTCACAAGCACTGCCCATATTGGCATCTTTTAGTGTCTGCATTTATGACCAAGAAGGCATTGTCTAGCATTTGGTTAGGTTATTTCAGAACTGGTTTGTCTAGT